TTCTCATAATTCTATAGACCGAAACCAGTTTCTTGTAAAGAGCAGTTCGAGCCCATCATACCGGAAATTATTGCTTTCGATTGTTGGGACTTTTGGGACGAGGGTGTACATATGATAGCCTGAGATCGGGTGACTAGGATTGGGATAGAGTCTTGAACTACGTTAATTTTTCGAAAAAAACGCCGTCCATAAAAGCCTTGGGTTACAGGAAATTTCTCTCGATGACAAAACTATCACCACTTTAGGTTCTAGGCTCAAGAACACTAAAGCATACTTAGAAATTTTTGGAAGAAAGTAGAAGAATTTTTTTGATGGTATGTGGCATCATCCACCCCAAACACATATTTATAGGGGCCGGATCCAAGTATTATTTCATGAAAGCTTGTCTTTATCCATATGAAAGGCTGTCTTTATCCATATAAAAGGTACCTTTTATCCACACGAAAGGTTCTCATTATCCATATGGAAGGTTGTCTTTATTCATACAAAAGGATGTCATTATCCATATGGAAGATTGCCTTTATCCATAAGTTTCATCCTTATCCATAAAAAATGCAACTGCCACTAGGTCAAAGAGATGTGTCCCTTCATGGAATTAGAATACTAGTTCTATCTGTCTAACCCCAAACTGATTGGTTGGTCTAACCCAAAACCGATTTGACTTGATTTGTCCGATTCAACCAAATTCCCAACATGATATAATATAGAGATGGTGTCGAATCCATGCGTATTTACTTATTCAACCCAATCGGGTTGGATATAAATTTCAAATACAAGGTAAATACGTATAATTGATAGGTTTGTGTCAATAGTAATTTATTTGGGTTAGTTAGGGTTATCATTTCGTAGATTTGAGTTTGTATCCATATTTCATACATATATTCAAAGTACCGTTTGATATCTAAAGTTAATATATTTATTTCATGGTTAACTTAATATATTTTAAGTTATAGTAACCAAAAATATCTTTTTACTTATAAGTCCAAAACTGCAAAAAATGGCATTTTAGTAACAAAATTGCTTTCCTTACATTTTGATACCTAAATTTTTTAAGCTTTGCAAATATATTCAATTTTGAATATGTAGTTAAAAAAACCTAAATTAAATAGATGAACCCATATCTAAATAGAATTTGACATCAATACTCATATCCTGTGCAATTCCACCCAACACATATTCAAATCTATATAGACTTCAATTATATTCTACCCATAATCAATAAATAGATTTAGATTTGGGTAAAATTACTCAAGGATAGGTAATTGCCGTTCCTAATGCCACCGTAGCCCCAATTGCACTAACAAAAAGAGAAAATGCTACATTTTTTTTTTATGAATAAGGGATTATGTTCATCAAGAAAGGATGAACTTGAAACCAACCCTATCTGGCAACCAAACACTTTACAAGCACTGTAATTATTACAGTAACCTAAGTCATACTAACACTTACCAAATCGCTAACCCCTCTAAGGGTTGGAAAATTACACCCCTATTAATTATAATTAATTTTTATTAAATTTGAATTATATTTAATAATTTTTTGAATTAAAAAAAATATTAATTACATTCTCTCTTTTGAACTACCATTGCAATGATACAACTACCATTGCACCTATACACCGAACTCATATCAATGACACTGATAATACTACCATTTCACATGTACACTGATACCATTACACTGGTACAACTACCATTGCACTGTAAAAAGGAAAGTAATTAATATGAATTTTTAATTCAGACAAATTATTAAATGCAATACAAATTAATTACTTTTAAAACCTATAATTATTAGGGGTATCATTTTTTCAACCCTTTTAGGGGTAGTCATGCACTCATGCTATCTTACCCTTCACAGGATCCTATTAACTAACTATGACAACTCTTTTTAAAATAAACCGTCAAAACAATTGTAACAAGCACTGTAATTATTACAATAACGTACTAAAACTTACCAAATCAAACAATCTAACCCCTCTACGGGTTGGAAATGACAACCCTATTAATTATAGTTTTTTTAATTAAATTCATGTTATATTTAATAATTTTTTGGAATTAAAAACTCATATTAATTATATTTTCTCTTTTGAACTACCATTGCAATGATACAACTACCGTTGCACCTATACACTGAACTCATATCAATTACATTCCTTTTTTTGAACTACCATCGCACTGATACAACTACCATTCCACTTGTACACATATACCATTGCACTGGTACAACTACCATTGCACTGAAAAAATAAAAGTAATTAATATGAATTTTTAATTCATACAGATTATTAAATGCAACACAAATTAATTACCTTAAAAGCCTATAATTATAAGGGGTGTCATTTTTCCAACCCTTTTAGGGGTAGTCATGCTATCTTACCCCTTCATTAGACCCCATTAACTAACTATGACAACTCTTTTTAAAATAAACAGTCAAAACAATTGTATAAAATATATGTTCTATTTTGGAACGACCAACTAACAATTTAACGTTACTTTAACTTATTAGATTCAGAAACATTGATTACATATAATATCTCGAATGAGCCGAAAAAACCAGGGGATGAAGTGTTTGGCTCGTGGATTTTATCTCTTCTCTTTGGATTGAATGTCAATTTGGCATTCGGGCATGAGCAAAGGCGTTTTATCCTTTGTGTATGCCGCACAAGGTAGAAGGATATATTGTCGATAAATATTAAAAAAAGTGTGGTTATTCAGTTTAAAGGGCTGACTACACGTATTTTTTACATATTTCTCATGATTGTCCTCGTCCCTCTTCTAAACCGGGTTAAAACAAATAAGTGGGAATCTTGTACTGTTAAGGAGGATTCAATCTCGTCTAGTATACTCATTTACAAGTTCGATTTATTAACCATATGGGGCACATAAGTCAGGGTCAGGATGTGGTATTTGTAAGTGTATAATTATGGTGCATTCTCTTGTATCCAGTTTTCTTATCTTTTTCCTTTTGAATGATTCACTACCAATTCAAAATGACAATTGCCAAGTTCGCTATTAGACGAGACAACTATTCCTTACTTGCCATAAAAATGTATCGAGAGTCATAGATTGCTAACAATCACCCCCTTTATAACAAAGAGGATCCGGGAGGGCTGCCTAACCATATAAACGACTTAAGAAGTGATAAAAAGAAGAAAAACACTAGATAAAAAAATCTCTTCACCTTCCTATGCCGCTTTTTTTGTTGATTTGTTGTCTTCATACGATTGTTCGGGCCTGATTGACTGGCCTTGCTTTTACTCTAGCTACGTATTTGGTAAGTTAAATTATTCTTTGGGGGATAAACCCTTCTTTCCACTCCAGGAGAAGAAGTCCCAACTGTCTCAATGTTGATTTTTAACAATTAGTTTAGACATTTGTACGCATAAGAAATCTCCTTTCGTTGTAGGCTTATTGATTATATTCCTAGTGTTGGGTATTATTACTGACTCCTAATGTCTAACTCTTGATGCATGAAGTTTTCCTCTTGACGCATGATGCTTAACGCTTAATATAAAAGGTTTCTAAGTCTATAGAGTAATGGCATTGACCTCTAGATCACGCTTCACCATCTTAGTTCTTTGTAGACTTTCTATCTCTGAATATTCCATCTATCTCTTAGTTCTCGAAGAGATCAGACGAGCAAATTATGAGTGTGAGCCTACACATTTAATAATTGCGATGGTAATATGATCCTATCAATAAACAACAACAAAAATGTGGATTTTTTATGAAGAGTCAAAATTGGGGTAGTGTTAGTAGAGATTAGTGCGTATTTTAAAAATTATTTTATATTGAACATGCTTAGGTCCTTATAGCACCTCGTTAGGCAGCAATAGTAATACAAAAAAATCAAGAGTATCCGGGAGCGCGAAGGACCCTAGCTCCGAGTTTTCCGGAGCGTAGAGCCTAGTGATCCATCGCAAACCTTGAGCGCAGCCGCATGTCATGGAAACGCCCACAACGGGGGATGCGCCCTCGGCGCCGGGCTCCCAAACTCGAATACTGGTAATCGTGGGCCAGCATCGGTAACTTCTTCACCCAATGGGAAGGGTGATAAGGAGGCACAACAGACGAAAAAAGAACTAAACCCATGACTGAAAACCCCCTGTTTGAGATGACCCCCATGCAACAAGACGTATCGCAGCCTATTCCAGATACTCAGCAACCCTAATCTTCCGGGAATCGAGGGTCGTGTAAGCTGTTTACAGAGGTACTAGCTCAAGAGTAGTGGTACGCTGCAGAGTCCGAATCGGAGGACGTGGCGGGGCCATGCGGGAGGATGAGTTGGAAGATGAAGTTCATGAGGATGACAACCCTCGTTGCCCCACCATCCCATTCAAAACAATGGGAAAGCTATGCTGGTGGTGCCAATGGAGGTCCGCCCTCATTGTGAAAGTCTTGGGAAGAACCTTCCCGTTTCCAGTGATCTCACGCAGGCTTCACACCATCCAGGTGAAGTGCGGCACGTTGCAGATCTATAGCCTGTCCTATGGATTATATGCTGTGAGATTCACAAGTCAGATGGATTATGAGCAAGCAGCAGGAGGAGGGCCATGGAAGATCGGAGAGTACTACCTTATTGTACGCCCTTGGTGGCGTAATTTCGATGCAAAAATGGCAGAGGTGGCCTCTACTATGGTATGGGCAAAACTCCCGGGCCTCCCCTGCGAATTCATTAACAAGGAAACGGCTGAAAGGATTGCTTTTTGCATTGGTAAGCCGATCCGCATGGACCGTGCTACTCAAAATGGTGATCGGGGTCAGTATGCTAGAGTTTGCGTCGAGGTTGATCTTATGAAACCTTTCTTATCTCAATACAAGATCGAGGGTATTGTGTACTATGTGGAGTTCGAAGGGCTGTTCAAAATTTGCACAGAATGTGGCCATTATGGTCACGCCAAAATGACCTGCCCCACACTGTTCAAGCCATCGACCACACCCGTGGAAACAAGCCGTGGGTCGTCTCCTACAACTGAACCAACCTCGATTTACAGAGAGTGGATGATCGCCAAACCGCGGAGGCAAAATGTGAAGAAACAAGCCAAAGCTCATGGCGACTTAGGGAGCAATCTCAACTCCAATGGCTCGCGATTCAGCGTCTTAAACATAGAAGAGATGGAGAGTCCAACTGAGGATACTAGGCTCGAGACAACTGATCCGGCTGGTGATATGGACATGGATGACTGTTTGACAACTGGAAAATCTAGAGATTCCCCAGAAACCCAACGCCAATTATCCCATGCACATGTAATGAACTCCTCAAAAAAGATAGCCAAAGCTCCTATTCAAATGTCTACTCTGGCGGCCAGTGGGGGCAAAAGTGAGGTGGCTCCAAGTCACCACACTAGCGAGCCCGCCCGGATGGTAAACGTGGTAGTTCGAGAAGCTAGAATGGAGGAGTTGCGTGGGAAAAAGAAACCGATAATAGCCCCAACAAAAGCAGCTATAAAAGTCAAGACCACGGAGAAGACCAACCGGCCCAAGGAGAAGTCTTGGCAGCAATCATCCCCGATAGCCAAGGGTGGAAAGGCGGATTACCCGCTGGCGCATACTGGGCAGCCACTAATTAATCATACCCCACACACACAAAAGAGAGTTGGAAAAAATGCCTCTACAACGGGTTCGAATGTGAGGCTTGTAGAACCCTCCACCAGGTCTCAGTTGAACTCTTAGTCAGCTTCACCAACAGTTAGTGAAGTACCCTTCCCTTGCATTTTCTTTTATCTTTTGGTGAATTTTATTTTGTCAGTATTTTAAACATATTATCGTGGAACTGCCAAGGGGCAGGAGGAGACTTATTTAAGGAGTATTTGTCGACTTTTGTATGTACTCACAAACCTGACATAGTCGTGATCGTGGAGCCCCAGATTAGTAGGGATACAACTGAGAGAGTCATATCTAGCACTGGCTTTGATGGGGTCTGGTAATATTTTCGTATGGCCTGAACTTTGACCAAAATAATCATCCTAGCCAATCTTTTTGATCTATAACATCCTGGCCCGAACTATACACCAAAATAAACAATTTGGCCAAACCCGATGTTTGACCGTTAACTTGGACGGTCAACGCGCCACGTCACTGCCAACTCATAAGATCTGATAAATATTTAATTTTTCCGTTTTTTATTTTTGGTTTAACTAAGGTATTAGATGATTTTTTTAATTTATAATAATTTAAAATTAGGGAATGTGTGGAAATTGTGAATTATTTTAAATATTTTATGCCGACTTGGCATTGACATGGCGCGTTGACTAACAATCAACGCGTTTGACCGTCCAAGTTAACGGTCAAACATCGGGCTTGGCCAAATTGTTTATTTTGGTGTATAGTTCGAGCCAGGATGTTATAGATCGAAAAGATTTGCCAAGATGTTTATTTTGGTCAAAGTTCAGGCCATACGAAAATATTAACCCTAGATGTTATTGGTTTCTCAGGTGGCATCTGGGTTCTGTGGATGAAGCAAGATTTTCTCGTCACAACTTTGTGAGAGTGGAGCCAAATGATTCACATGTGATGTGCTCGAAGACCTAATCCACGAAAGGAGGTCTTGGTATCTGCGGTTTATAGAAGTCCAAATGTGGCTGATAGAAGAGACCTGTGGCAAGAAATTGATAAGTTGGCTGAATATGTGTCCCTCCCATGGTGATTGATATGGGATTTCAACGCAATTCTTGGAACGACGGACAGGGTAGGAGGAGACATCTACAACGAGGCCAAGTCTCGACCATTTTGAACCTGTGTTGATAGTGCTAGGCTTCTGGAAATCCAATTCTCGGGCCCTCATTTCACGTGGCAACGTGGCACACTATTCCAACAACTGGATCGAGCTCTTTGCAATGATCACTGGCTACTCCAATTCTCCCATTCCTGAAGCGAAGCATTTGGAGTGCATTGGATCGGACCACGGACCCCTCCTACTTCAGCCGCACCTCATCGGAGACCTGCAAGAGAATGACCTTTTCGCTTCCTTACGGATTGGCTGGGGCATGAAGATTTACCCCGTTTTCTTGATGAGTCTCTAAGGTTGAGTAGCGAGCTACCAAAGCAACTCTCAAGACTTACTGAGAAACTTAAGAAATGGAACAAAGAAGTTTTCGGATACATTTAGCACAAGAAACGACAAGTGGCAGCCCAGCTACATCGATTGGAGACAAGGAATGAAAGTGGCGCTTTAGCTGCTGATTGTCAAGAGGAGCACAAACTGTGGGCAGAGCTGGAAGATCTCATATGGCAAGAACATCTGCTTTCGGTGCAGAAATCACAGAGCTTCTGTGTAGTTGAAGGGGATCACAATGCACGATATTTCCACCTCACCAAGTTTAAACGCAGACGATTCAACCATGTGACGGCTCTACAAGGAAGTGAGGTGAACTGATTGAGGATGAATAATGTTTGATTGTCCATGTCCGGGGTTTCTACCTAGCTCTATTCACTCACGAGGAGGTGACTGAATTTCAACTCCCAGCGTTGTTCGAAGCAATTGACCCCGACTTACATCCCATGCTTTGTGCGGATATCTAGCGAGAGGAGGTCTGGAAGGCTATTAAAGAAATGGGTGGGCTAAAAGCCCCGGGGCCAGACGGCTACCCTGTAACTTTCTTCTAGAGCTAATGGGGGATTTTTTGCATAGTCATTCCTTGCTTTTGTTGTAGGTTGCTTCAAAGAAACAGGGTGGATTGCTTCTGTTAATGTGACCCTCCTGGCTCTATTTCATGCCCAAGAAGGAGAACCCGAACACGATCATCCAATTCTGACCGATTGGCCTATGTAATGTGATCTACAAAGCCCTTGCTAAGTGCTTAGTGAATCGCATCAAGCCACTGATGAGGCGATTGGTACATGACACACATACCAGCTTCGTTCCAGGTTGACACATCACCGACATCATTATCATTCTTCAAGAGGTGGTGCATTCGATGGGTCTCAAGACTGGAAGATGAGGCCAAATGGTGATCAAGGTGGATCTGGAAAAAGCCTACGACCGATTGACCTGGCCTTTCCTCCGGGAAACACTCGCTATGGTAGGATTCCTTGAAGAGCTTATAGTCGTCATTATGCAGTGCGTGACAATGGCTACTATGAGGGTACTCATAATGGGAACGAGACAGAACCTTTCTCACCCTCTAGAGACCTTCGACAGGGTTGCCCTCTCTTGTCGTACCTATTCACACTCTACGTAGAATGACTCAGTCACGTCATTAAGAAGGCAGTTCTCGAGGGGCATTGGAAGCCGATTAAGACCTCACCAGGTGGTCCGACACTCTCGCACCTATTTTTTACTGATGATTTGATTCTTTTTGCAGAAGCATTGGTTAGACAAGGTGAAATCGTTCTAGACTGTCTAGACAGATTCTGTCTTGCATCGGAGGAGATGGTGATGAGCAAAGAGAAATCTGTGGTGTTCATCTCCGGCAATACAGAGCGCGGCACTAGTGGTGATATCATTAGAAGCCTTGGTATATCGGCTACTCAAGATCTGGGACGATACCTAGGAGTGCCAGTTCTTCATGGCCGTGTTACTAAGGATACTTAAAAGTACATACTAGAGTGTTTGGACAAAAAGCTAGCGGGTTGGAGAGCGGATTCACTGTCCTTCGCTGGCGGGTGACGTTGGCAACCTCGGTTCTAAACACTCTCCCAGCATACGCTATGCAAACTACCCTACTTCCCCAGTCGGTCTGTGATGAGATTGAAAAAAGAATTTGACGGTTTATTAGGCGCTCCACTACAGAAAAAAGGAAAACACACTTGGTGCATTGGGAAGGAGTATGTCGGCCTAAAGAGCAGGGAGGTTTGGGTTTTTAAAAAGCTCATGAGTTAAACCTTGATTTTCTGGCTAAACTTGCTTGGTTGTTTATGAAAAATCATGATGAGATGTAGGTGAAGGTTCTTTAGGCAAAATACTTCAAGACTCTGGCGTGGAATCAAGAAAGCTTGGTCGATAATGGTAGCGGGAACTAGCATGTGTATCAAAGACGGGAGGAGCACAACGTTCTAGATGGACCACTGGGTTGATGAAGACACTATCCTCATCGATCACGTTAAAGAAGATGCTCCACCGGTGGAAACATTAGCCCCAGTCACGACCTTTGTCGATGAGCAAGGTGAGTGGGCTGAATCTTTATTGGAAATTTACTTACCTAGCGAGGTTGTTCTACAGATTCTAGCCACCGAACCTCCATGAGAGGAAGCAGGAGAAGATGAGGCTTTTTGGGGGACCCAAACCCAATGGGAGGTTCAAAGTCAAGTCCGCCTACGCTATTGCATGCGGACGACGGGATGATCAGTCGGACCTTGATTGGAGGAAGATTTGGAGCTGGAGAGGACCAACGCGTACGTTGTAGTTCCTGTGGCTAGCGGCGAGGGAGCGACTTCTAACTAATGCGGAGCGGAGCCAGCTGCATATCTCCATCACCAGCAACTGCACTTTGTGCAATTCTGCAGTTGAGACAGTCCTGCCTGTGTTGCGGGACTGCCATTTCCCAAAGTTAATATAGATGCGTCTCATCAAGCTTTCTGATCACCGGAATTTGTTTGGTTTGCCCCTTCAGGAATGGCTCTTGAAATACCTTCACCACCCGAACTACGACCTAAAGTTTGGCCTCACTTGTTGGTCTCTTTGGAAGATTAGGAACGACAGGGTCTTTAATTAAAAGACCACCACCACCGAGTTCTTTATACAGCATCTTCAAGGTTGGATTAAAGTAGTCCAGACGACTTTTTAGAAGGATAGGATCGTTCTTAAGCCTATCCTGCCCATCAAAACGGAGGTTGAGATCTCATAGAAATCGTCGCCTCCTGAGTGAGTGATAATCGACTGTAACATATGGAATTGTTGAGATTTATGTGACTACTCCATTATATGTTTCAGTCGATTGGTGCTATTTTAGAGTGAACTAACCCAAGAATGGTTGAAAACCATTACTAGCTAGTGCCATGAGTTTGATGTATTACAGGTGAAGAAACTTCGAAAAAGGAGAAATTACACAGGCAAATATTCCGGCTAAAACAATTTCTGGAAGAACAATGGGACCGGGCCTTTATGTTGTCTAATTGGGACGAGAACATGGATGATTTAATTGGACCAGAGGAGTGCATTGAAGGGGCCTTATGGAGGAATTAATTGGACCAACTTTGTTGTCCTTTTCTTCCCAAATTTGAAGTCAATTAGTGAATTATTTGGACTAGGAAGAAAAGGCCATAGAGAGCAAGCTCGAGGGAGAGCTGGGACATGGAACTGGGGATGGAATGGCCGCAAGTTACTTGGACTAGGGGGCAATTGTTTGGCCCATCTTCTTTGGCCTTTAGTGGCCGAACGGAGCGCAGGATGAGATTCTTCCTGGTTTTTGGGCGGAAATTGGACACCGGGACAAAAACGGCTGGAGCGCTGCGTTTCAGAGGTGGGTGAAGATTTCTTTGGGCGAGTGGGATTTCTTTGGAGGAAACGATACTTCTTTTGGGAGAAGCAGCAGCGCAGGCGACTAGCGAGCAAACTGGGACATACAGAACAGCAGCAGCGGGACGAGAGGAATCTCGTGGGTAGAATAATTGGAAAAGGGATTAATTAGAGAACAACGCAGCGAGCGGAGAGAAGCAGCTGTTGCGGCAATCGCTAGCAGCGGGGAAGAAAATCTCACTATTCTTTTTGCTTTGATTTGTGACATGATGATTAT